CACACACATACACATACCCTATCAAACAGACACACATACCCCATCATACACACACAGGCTTCCCCACATATACTCCAGCACACAAACACACCATCAAATACACATGTACTGCCAAACATACACAGGCACACCACCATCACCACCAAAACCCACAGTGATACACACTCCTCCCCACACACATCCCATCATACACACTGATACACGCACACATAGACAAAGAGACTGACGTCGTTTTCCCTCTCTAACATCAGATCTCCAGGCACAAGGATCTGTATTTCATCTGGGATCCCATCTCTGGTCTTCTACTGTGATCGTTTTGCATCTGCTATGTCCTGTTTCATTAACAGGAGCTCATCACAGCCACATCAAAATCTGAAGATGCATTGTTTCTATTACCATTTATAGCACCATTTGTTTCATTTAAGAAAATGTGCTTAGTCCCTGGCCTTAAATTGCACAGCAGAAACGGGATTCTGGAGTTCAGGGTACATATTTATTCTCCCATCTCTTCACTTTGTCAGGAGCGAAATCACTTTGACTTGACTTTAAGACAAACTGTTTCCATTTGCACCAGCAGAAGCCCAGCTCTTTCGAACAATAACTTAGCTTCAGGGACTTCTGAGCCATTCTTATTTCCAGATCGGGCAGTGGCCTCCAGAACACACCCCCTTAATTCAGGCCTTGCAAATTCAGCCAAGGGCTGAGCTTCAATTTTACTTATGCATAATGAAAATGGGATTTCTCAAGTGTAACAATGGGGGAAATTGCATTATCTTAACCGCTGACACCAGAATTCCTCTTGGAATTGGATCCTGGGGTTTTTTGTTTTGTTTGGTTTTCTGTTTTGCTCTCTTTGTTTTGGAAGACAATCTCAGCAGATGATGGCTGGTGGGGACATTTGGAGTTACAGGGAGCAAACTAGAAAGGGGTAGGTGAGGAGGAAAGAGGCGTGCAGAAGGAAGAAAGAAATCAAACCCAAGTCATGGTGGGAAACCTCTACTCCTGGGTCCTTCCTTTCCCTTCTCTCCCTGCCAAATCTTCAGAGAAGTCCACAAAACTCACAAGGATTTGAAATTGCTGTTTTCTGTTGTTACTATAAAAGCCAGAGCTAGATTTTATTTTACTTTGGGTGGTGCACACCCAGGAAGTGGATGCCAAAGTGGTCCTGGGAACATCTACCTTTCTCCCTGAATTTGCAAAACCCTCAGGGAGATCATTAACTGCAGGAGTCAATTTTACCTCAAAACTTGAATCTCAGCGGGGCACCTGGGTGTCCCAGTTGGTTAAGGGCCTGACTCTTGCTTGGTTTTGGCTCAGGTTGGGATACAAGGGTTGTGAGATCGAGCCCCATGTTGGGCTCCACCCTGTGTCTGGATTCTGCTTAAGACTCTCTCTCCCTCTCCCTCTGCCACTCTCTCCCTCTCTAAATCAACCAATCTTTAAAAATTTGAATTTCAGTAAGCCTAAAGATAATATCTACCTTACCCAACATGAGTGTTTAAATTATACAGTTATTATTGAGCAAATAGGTACAAATTAATAAACGATACTCAAATTTTAAAACATTATTCTCGGTACTTTGTTTGCTTCAGGGGAACCATGGAATGAATGACACAGTCCCAGTCCTCAAGGGGTTTACAACCTGGGGGGGGGGGGGCACAAGATCTGGACATAAGTAATTATACAGATCTTCTTCAACTTATGATGGGATTATGTCCCAGTAAATCCACTGTAAATTGAAAATATCCTAAATCAATAATGCATTTAGTAGACCTAACTTACCAAACATCATAGCTTAGTCTCACCTACCTTAAATGGGCTCAGAATACTGACAGCCTCAGTTAGGGAGAATCACCCAACACAAACCTGTTTTATTATAAGTACTGAATGCCTCATTTAACTTACTGAATACTGTACTGCGAGTGAGGGACACATGGCTGTACAGACAGAGAACGGTGGCAGGTGTCCGGGTTGTTCACCCTGGTGAACACATGGCTGACAGACCTGTGGCTGCCTCACCCGGCATCACCAACAAGGACCCTACCATGCATTGCTGGCGGTGGGAAAGAGCCAAATTCCAAATTCCAAGTATAGTTTCTTCTGAATGTGTATCAAGGGCTCACATCATGTTGAAAAATCATAACTTTGGGACAGAATTTAAGAGGCAGAATAAGAAGCCCAGAGGGAACAGGAATCCAGGAGAAGCATCAATGCCACTTTGGGGGAAGGTAGAAAAGGAAGATGTCAGTGAATAAGAAAGAGGATGGCGTTTGTATGGACAAAAATAGTGGGAAGTGGGGGAGAGGTTATTTGATTAGAGTTTCTTCTGTCATAATCTCAACATCCTTCTCATTACCTTTAAAGGTGGTAAAAACGTCTTATCTCTCTAAAGGTAAGTCATTCGGGAGTGACTGGCTCATTGTCTTGAACATAGCAGTTCCTTAAAATTAATGTTGGATTGAAGCCTGGGCTGAGGCTGATCATGGATATAAGCAGAGATGCAGAAAGGAGTAACGCGTAGATAAGAAATTTCACAAGTCTCGTGTGTCTGGGATTTCAGATGCGTGAGGGGGAAAAGTGCAAGAAAACTGAGGTTGTGTAGACCGGGGCCAAATGTGGAGGTGTCTAAGAGCAATTTCATTGTTTTTTTAGGAAATGGGGAGTGTGGTGGAGGCTTCTGGGAGAGGGAAGTACAACACAGAGCACATTTCAGACCACTGGACGCCACTTCAGTAATCTACATAAAGGCAAAGCCATGGAGGGTCAAGCTGGGGTTGGGGTAATAGGTTCGAGATGGAGTTTGGCTGGTTATAAGCTGGTGCTGGCTTCAGGTCAGCTTAACGACTGTGTGGCCTGGCTGAGACAGTTAAATTTTGATTGGAAAGATTTCACGTCAAACTGTTATTAGTGGTTATATTTGAGACTTGACTTGAAAGAAAAGGTCTTTATCAACCTTGTTCCTCATATAATTTATTTTCCTTTGACTTCTTAGAGTGGTAATGCATCACTTTTATGATTTTGAAGGAAAAAGTTCCAAGAATACAGAAATTTTTAAAAAGGAGTTATACACCAAATGAACCCAGCAAAGCCCACTGGATTTGTATACCCTATTAGGAAAAAGAATGGCCCTGAGCAAATTAAAAATCATCTTTATCTCATCATTAAAGCAGGCCCAGGAGCATCACCACAAAAGGTGTTAGGCTACTAGTTTGTGGTTTTGAATATAGCCTCAGGTAATAAAGCCGTGTTTCAATTTAAAATGTTACATTTTTCATGCTTCTCATTAAGCCAAACTAATATCTCCCTCGATAATTCTGAATTAGTAAAGTCAGACTATATTGGAACTAAAAAATAATTATGGAGCAAGTGAACCTTCCCAATTTCCTTTAATTACTCTGTCAGACCTGGGCCCTGGGAAGCTCTTACCTGAGACTAATTTAGGAAGCCTTGAGAAACAGACACTCTTTGGGGCTACTGTATGTTCTGCCTTCTTCCCTGGTTGCAACTCCTTCCAGCCCACAGAACACAGGCTGAAGCAAATACTGTAGCTAATGAGTCCTCATTTCTATAGCTACAAAAACCTGGGAGAATTTAAGAAAACCCAGTATAACTTTCCTGAATATGTGAGATCACTTGAATTGTACGTATACGGGAGGTCCTACACAGAACTAAGATAATTATGTCTAGCAAATCCAGGCTACGTTCTGTACAAAGAAACTCATCTGTATCTATCAGGAGCTCAACAAGTAGGTTTCACTATATTCTCTTCATAACTTAATACAGCGGACTTTCAATCCTAGAAGAAATAACATGGGTTATTTTTAAACAAAAGTGTAAAGAAGGGTTCCACATGGCTTCTGTCCTGTCCCACTATCTGCTGACATGCATCCTTCCATGTGGCAGCTGTCAGGGAGACTCCGTTAGGGGGCTGGCACTCTGAAGGAAATCAGAGTAGGGTTATATTGCTCAGCCCACCCATTACTACGAGAAGTTGTTCTACAAGAGGTACGTATGTGCGTAAATAAAATATGTAACCTTCGCATTCTTTTAATGGAGTAACAGTATAAGAACACATTGCTTTGTAAAGCTAAAGTAGAGATATAAATATTTTTTGATTACCTACCTATTAATAAATCTGTTTCCTTAATCTACTATTAATCATTTAAATAAATATCTAAGGGGGAATATTAGGTCCAATGCCCTCTTGGTGTCTTTTCCACGCATTAGATGCTAGCTAACAAAAACGTGCCATCACAGTGCGCGGCACTCCTCAGGGTCACAGACATGATCTGCAGCATCTGCATAATGCCGGATGGAGCTTCTGGCCAGTGAGGAGGATGGCCAGCTGGGAGGGAGGCTGTGAAGGATGGAGGCCATATCACAGAGAAGGTCCCACCTGCAGCTCAGGACCACTGTGCCTCTCATTATGTAATTAATATGGCCCTGAATATTTGAGAAGGAGGAAGGTAAGGGAGAGGGAGGAGGGCTGAGGTTGAATGAAGAGGGAGGAAGGTAGGGAGGGAAATACAACTACAGAAACTCACAATTAAAAGGCAACCCATGTAACTGTAGCTAGTAATTCCATATTGTGTAACTGGAAAGATGCTAAGAGTAGATCTCAAGCATTCTCACCACATACACACAAAGAATTAACTGTATGAGGTGACGGATATGTAAATTATTTTGATCTTGGAAACCATTCCACCATATTTATGTATATCAAATCATCACACTGTAGACTTTAATATATACACTTATATTTGTCAAAAAAGGAAGGAATATGATTCAATTATATCTTCTATTCCTTAATCTATTTTAAATGTATAATTTACCAGTAAGTTTCCATTATAAATGCATACACAAACATTTCACCTTAATCTCCATAGTGTGTTTTACTGTATAAATAAACATTAATGTCTTTACCTAGTTTAAAAAAAAGTGTCACTAAATGATTTACCTGGTGATACTTTCGATACCATCGTATTTTATAGGACACTGCAAGCTTTGTGCCGTGACAATATCATAGCCAATGAGGTTTATTCAAGGCGCGATTATTGCTAATTGAAAAAGTAAAAGTTAACAAAGAGAGTCCCAAAACCTCCCCCCAAGATAAATAAATTTTTTTTTTTAAAAACCCAGGCCAGGGCACCTGGGTGGCTCAGTTGGTTGAGCGACTGCCTTCAGCTCAGGTCATGATCCCGGATTTCCGGGATCAAGTCCCACATCGGGCTCCCAGCTCCTTGGGGAGTCTGCTTCTCCCTCTGACCTTCTCCTCTCTCATGCTCTCTCTCACTCATTCTCTCTCAATAAATAAAATCTTAAAAACAAAACAAAACAAAACAAAACAAAACAAAAAACCCAGGCCATATTCTTTTTTAAAGCTAAGAATCCTACTGTTCCTGTGTGTAATAAATTCCCATATACAAGCTTGGATTTTTAAACAGGCCACAACAATCATTCTCCAGTTTCCTTCTTTGGTTAATTCTTAATTATTCTTCATAATTCAGTTCAAGTGTCTGCTTTTCTGGGAAGTTCCCCTTAGATTCCTCCTCTACAGGTCCCTACTTCAGGTTACAGGCAGGGTAGATAAAAATGTGGAATACATCTCCCCCATTGTAGTTGAGGCATTTGTAAGAGAGGGAATCAATAAACCCCCAAAAGTATGCTGGTGTGAGTGTGTGTGTGTGTGTGTGTGTGTGTGTGGGTGGGTGAGAGAGAGAGAGAGAGAGAGAGAGAAAGAGAGAGAGAGAGAGAAAGTGATACTTCCAAACATGTGGAATGTAGACTGTGTCTACACATACAAAAAAAATTCTATAATGTTCATGGATGTCACTAAAAAAAATCATAGATTCAGTGAACAAGCAAATAGCTGAAACTTGGTCAAAGACAGGCATATAAATATAAATATAAAATTTTGCCACAGCATCATTTACAACAGAAAAAAAAAAGGTGAACACCATACTACCTTTGAAAATAGAGGATGATTACATTATAGAAATTTCATATAATAATAATTTATGGCAGAAATTATGATATTTGAAAGGTATTTCATGAATAAAGGCTGAGTAAAGAATCTTAACTGAAATATATAGACATTTAAAAACTGCTTAAGTATTATGATCCCCAAATTGTACTTTCTCTCTTTTTTTTCTCTATGACTACATGTATATACCTACCTATATATGACTTCATATAATGTATACTGACATGGTTATTTCTTGCTGGAATGCTCAGTAATTTTTTGGTATTTTTTTTTCCTTTTTGTACTTTTCTGTCCCTTATGTATTTCCTACAATAAAAATAGCTTGCTGTGGTAATCAGAGAAAAAATGTTAATGAAGTAAGATCATACAATAAAGAAAACGGCAAAATAGGCATATGATCCTGAGGTATCTTCTGACACTGAACCTAAAGGAAGCTACAGGTCCCCTTTCTCTCTCTCCGTTAATACCTAATAACAATTGCCTGGGTGAAGACTTGAATTAGTCAGAATCAATAAATATTCCAGCTTACATACTATTGTGATTGAAAATTCTACCCATTGTCCATTCTTGATTTTGTGGTAATTAGTTTTTGGCTGGGGTGTGTAACCTCACGCTGGATCTGGGGCCCCCTTCGTAAGTCCCTAACACATGGCAGATGTTAGAATACATATCATGGAGAGTCTGAATTACTTAACTTCTGTATCTGCTATTAGGTTTGCAGTTTACTGAACACGGTGAACTTTCAGTCATGCACTCAACACTCATACTTACTGACGACTTACCCCACAGACCCTGTTCTAGGTCCTGGTGATAGACCGGTGGGTGGGAAAGAGACAGGGAAGTCTACCTTACGTCCTTCTGTCTCTGTATCCCAGCTCACCCTGTCCTTAACACCTAATATTCAATAGGCATTTGTTAAATGAATGAATAAATAAATTAAAATATGTTAAATCAGAGCAAGAAAAGAATCAACAGCACTACACAATGGAGAAACTGAGGAAGCCCAAGAGGGTAACAAGGAGAGCTCAGAAGAATATCTTTGCAGAAAGAGAAAGAAATCAACTTTGAAAGAAGAATACAAGAAAATGTTTCAAATTATGTTCCATAGAATCCTAGATCCTTCTACCAGCCTCAATCTTTTTAGAACTACATTTTCAGTATTCTTACTGATTGTGATTAAAAACCAAATGTGCCTACTCAAATTTGTTCTTTACCAAATACCAACATTCCATAGGAAATCAAAGTTGTTCGTTTTTCCTCCAGGTTAGGCCATTTACCTGTGATACCCTCAGTCTAAAACATCTCCTCTAATCCCTGTGTAATTATTTGGAATTTCTTGTAAAGATTCATTGACTCTCAAGGTGGTAACTCTGTGTGGTGATTAGATATGGTCACAAAGTCCTTGACACTGCCGCCAAGAAGGAGGAGAATGCTTGGCTCATCCCTGAGAATCTGGGTAGGCCTCTGACAGCTCTGAAGAAAACAGAATGTAGCAGAAGGGACACTGTGCCATCTTCCAGAGTGGGCCTTAACAAGCTGTCAGCTTCCATTTCCTGTCTCCTGAAACACTCTCTGGAAACTCAGCCTGCATGCTAAGAGGAAGCCCAAGAAACCCCACAGAGAGGTCCCAATGAAGGTCGGCCCCTGGCTGAGCTCCCAGACAACAGCCATCACTGTCGTGTCATGGCATGCATGTGAGCCATCCCGAAGAGCAATTCTCCAGGCCCGGTTAGATCTCACCAGCTGGTACTGCACGGCAATGACACTGCTAGGCCATGCCCAAATCACAGATCCATAACCAAAACACGTATGTTGGGGTTTTAGGCCATAATGTTCTGGAGTAGTTAGTCACTCTGAAATGGCTAAGTGGAATATTCTACAAGACTCTTTAAAAAAAGATTGAAAACATCAGACCTGTGCCGGTCCATTACATAGGAGTATACTAAAGCAAATGAACTATTCTCTGTGCTGAGCACCATTCAAGGCTCAGGCCCTTGTCATGACTGTCTGATACGTGTGCGATTGACTCGGGAACAGCATAGGGTTGGGGCGCTGATCCCCAAGCAGTCAAAAAATCCATGTATAACTTATGATTCCCCAAAACTAAGCCACCAACAGCCAACTAATGACCGGAAGCCTTACCGATAGCAAAAACAGTTGATGAACACACATATGTTATATATATTAAATACTGTATTTTTTAAAAAGTTATTTATTTATTTATTTATCAGAGAGAGACAGCAAACACACAGGCACATGCATAAGCAGGGAGAGAGACAGAGGGAGAGAGAAAGGGAGAAGCAGACCCTCTGCTGAGCAGAGAACCCTGATGTGGGGCTCGATCTCACTGGGATCACGGCCTGAGCTGAAGGCAGATGCTTAACGGAATGAGCCACCCAGGCTCCCTTTAAAAAGTGTCTTCTTACAATAAAGTAAACTAGAGAAAAAATGTCATTAAGAAAATCATAAGAAACAGAAAATACACATACAGTACCATACGGCAAAAATTCCCAATAGAAGTGGACCCATGCAGTTCGAACCCCTGCTCCACAAGGGTCAGCTATCCACCATAACATATTCCTATAGGATTTCAGTGCTTATTTAAGTTTAGGTCTTCTTATGACAACAGCTATAAAATTTTTGTATGTTGTATAAATTTCAAGAGCATTTTATTTAGTTACTGAAGGTTAAAGAATTCTATTAGAAATATATCATGACATTTATGGATAATTTTTTTAATTAGAATAGAGTGCAATGACATTGATCAGTTTCAGAATGTGACAGTGATTTATACTAACATCATATGATTCTTCAATGAGCCCCAATGACAACTTCAATAGTACATAAAGTAGTGGTGTCCCCAATATTTCATAGTCACTCATAAAAAGATAGTACAAGAAGCATTTGTCATTGGTTTCACTTTTTAAGGTGATAGAATTCCCAACCCTCAATGTAATTTATGCAGTGCAATTTTGTGTTTCAGTGTTTCAGCCAAGTCACAAGGTCATTTTTACACAAAATACAAAAGTACATCCTCGAATCTCTCAGGCCCTATTAGCCACGTATATGCTATAAAGAGATGAATGTAAAAAAGAAATCAGACATGATGAAAACACAGTTGTGGCACTGTCCAAAATAAATTACTTCATCACATGGAAAGGAGGTGTGTCCACAACAGACAACGAGTGTATCAATCCCTGACCGTGACACTGCAGTCTGCAGTCTAAGGAAACAGATCATGTTAAAAAACACAGTCAGACAGTATTTGACAACAGAGTACGGAGAGGGAGCTGAAAAAGTGAATTCCACATATCAGATGAATCTGCGCGAGGTCAGGTTATATGGGATCATGAGAATCCAACTGTAAATAAAACTGGTTATGGTACACCTGTCTCCATCTTGCATATTTAGCTAAGTGGTGAACAGGTAAGTAGATATCTGGGAAGATTTGTTATTTGATTATTCTGTTTATACAACAGAAACTTGAGGGTCTGGATCAGTTTTAGTTTTTAATTTTTTTTTTTTTTGTTAAGAGAAAGAGAAAAAGAGCAAGCTTGAGTGGGGGAGGGGAGCAGAGGAAGAAAGAGAATCTTAAGCAGACTCCACACCCAGCATGGAGCCCAATGGGGCTCAATCTCATGAACCTGAGATCATGACCTGATCTGAAATCAAGAGTCAGACACTTAGCTAAATGAGCACCCAGGCGCCCTTGGATCAGATTTTTAAACATGCAATCCAGTATGGCAGAAATGTAACTACAACTGTAGAGATACTGAGAAAACAACAGGAAAATCTGTAGAATATCTTGGCCCTTGCAAAAGCTATTCCCCTAGTATGTTCACATAGCCTCTGTATCTCGCATGGGCTAACATCACTTTCTAAAATGTTGTCTTCTAGCAAAACTCTGTTGGATAATGTACTGTATACTTTTCACTAAATCAAATACATTTAGGCAGTGAGCTCCAACTTTCATTTTTCACTGGAGTTCTTCAGCTCTTCTGATGGAGGCAAGGTACAAGTATGAATATATCAAGTGAGACAAGAAATCACTAATTTTTTGTTGTTTCTCTCGAACGTAGAATATGGGTGCAATAAGATTCTTGTGAATCTTTTGAAGTTTTTAGTAAGTAGAACACGCTAAGTTTGGCAAT